GAGAGAGAGAGAGAGAGAGAGAGAGAGAGAGAGAGAGAGAGAGGCAGAGACAGAGACAGAGACAGAGACAGAGACAGAGAGAATGGCTGAGCTGTCATGGCACTGGCCACTCTGACGCCTGTGTCCTCACAGTCACACCCAAGACCAGCTGGCCTCCAGAGCTAAATGGAAAGCTCCCTGAGTGGTTCTGTCCTTTCCCACTTGGGGGGAGCCTGACCCCTTCTAGAACAACCCATGGCAGAGAGCATCGTGTGCAGCCCGACAGCCTGGTTCAACTCCACCTATCATGGCTCTAATGTTTGTGTGGGGGTCGTTTCATCCTTGTATTTCATGACTCTCACCTACATCCTCAGATCTCCCCACACACATCAGACAGGACTCTCTAAAAAGTCTACCCCATCACTACTTTAGGGCTTAGCTTAAACTCACCAGCCATGCGCCCAGGCACATAGGGCTAATGGAGGAAGAGGGATGAGGACTGGCCGATAGACATAGCTGGAGGTGGCCAGGCACTGACCTGCACGGCCTTGAGCTTACCCATGTAGGGCTTGGTGCCAGCTAAAGCTGTCGCCCGCTCCCCATCTTTTATGATAGTAGCGATGTTGAAGTCGGTCAGGTGGGCATGTCCTGTGAGGAGAGAGGGCCACAGGTGTGGCTGTCCAGAACTGGAGGTGGATCCTTGCATGTAGGGGCACCCCCCGCTCCCCTTTGGCCTCCCAGGGCTCCCTACACTCCTGCCTCTCACCTTGCTCATCCAGAAGAATGTTGTCTGGCTTGACATCTCTAGAGGGGCAAAAGGAGGAAAAAACATCCTGAAGCCAATTGCTGCCCTGATCTCTGGCAGAGCAGGGTTCCCAAGATGCACACCAACCTGAGCACCCACCTAGGAGGAGGCTTGGCTTGGTCCCTGCCACAGCAATGGGGCCTGATGGCCCTGTGAGGGCAGGGGAGGTTCCTTCAACAGCACCAGGGAGGCAGCTGCGGGAGCCTCCAGCTTCCCACCTTCTGAGTCCAAACAGCAGAATGCTTGGAACTGGACACCGAAGGGTGCATACAGCCTGAAGCTCTCAGGAGCCCCTCCTCACCTGGCTCCCAGGTTGGCCCCTCAACCAGAGCCCCAGGGCTGTGCAGAAGTGCTAGCTGAGCTCCAACTCCCTGATAACCTGGTCTCAGCCTTCATACTGCCCCGAATTCCACCCTCACAGCTAGCACTCAGTGACTGTCAAGTGCCCGAATCATGACCAGACAACAGAATCCCCGAGGGCAGAGAGGGAAGAAGCTGATTTACTTGATTTTAAATTATATCTCATAGATCTTTTCATTTTGCTCTGTGGCTACAAAATTTTAGCCTGGTTTCTAATTCTTAAATTCAACTGCTTCCCAATTTCATCTACTTCAAGCAAATGTTTGAATTCTCCCAGGACATGGTAGGTAGGCAGATGGGAGCCTGTAATTAAACAGACCAGGGGAAGGCCACTTTAATGTGGCTGGGCCTGTGGTCTATCCATGAGACCTAAGAGGCCTCTCTGTCCAGCCTCAGGGCTGCTTGGATATGGCCCACTCCAGGCAGACGCCAAGTACGCAGCTGTGGGGTTGACAGTGGAGCGAGGCATTGATCGCCCAGGTGCTTTAGTTGGGAACAGGTCCTCAGGCAAAGGTGGGGCAGAGGAGCCAGGCCAGGTTTCCTGGAGTGTTGATGCCCCTCAGATGGCCCAGTTCAAGGTGGGTGCCAGCCCTGCCCACCCTACACCAGAACTCCACCTCATCAGGTGTGCACATACCTGTGGATGATGTGCTGACTGCGCAGGTAGTCGAGGGCCAGTGCCATCTCACAGATGTACAGCTTCACTGTGTCCTCAGAGAACTGGACATTCTGTTGCAGGTGGTAGCGCAGGTCCCCACCCAGAAGCAGGTCCACCACCATGAACATGTCCTCCTCATCCTGGAAGGAGTACCTGTGGCACCAAAGGAGGACCTGGCATATGCACAGCTGGGAAGCCAGTCACAGCTCCCTCCACACCTGACACACAGCCCCAGTCTTTTAGTCTAGATCCAAAATGGCCCTCAAAGCTTCATGTGTTTGGAAGGACTGGATTCCGAGGGCATTATAGCTGACTTGCTGTTAGGAGGTGAGTCTGGTTGGAAGAGGTGGGTTGCTGGGGTGTGACCTGGAAGGGTTTATCTCTCTTCCCAGGTGAAAGCTTTACTCTGCTAGACCCCTCCACCGTGGGGTTTCTGCCTGGAGCTGGCCAACCACAGATTGAAACTTCTAAAAACTGTGAGTCAGAATAAGCCTCTATTCCATTACGTCGAGGGTGTTGGGTATTTTTTCCCAGCAACAAAGAAAGTGACTAAGACACCGTCTGAGGACCACAGCCCCTCACCAGATTCTTGTTACCAAGGGTTCCGCATGAGGCACTGACTCTACCCCTGCTCAGAGCTGCTCTGAGGGAAGACCTTGGGGAAAGACAGAACAGCCTATCCTGGAGGTAGGTTAGGGGCTGGAGATGCCTTAGTAACAAATAGAAGATATCTCTCAGTTGTTTCAGGCCGGCTTGGTTTCTTTTTCTATAATAAGAAAATAAAGATATCTACTTTGAAGTGTTGCTAAAGAAGAAATGAGACAGTGTGAGAGAAATGCTTGGCACAATGCTGGGCACAGGGCTGGCATTTAATAATCGGCAGCCATAGTGATGATAGTGGCGGTGATGATGGTCATGGTGATGATGGTTGTCATGGTGATTAGGGTAGTTAGGAGTAATGATGGTGATAATGGTTGTAGTACGGTGTTGATAATGGTAGTGGTGATGATGGGGTGGTAGTATTGATAATGGTGATGATGCTGGTCATGGTGGTGGTGCTGCTGATAAAGATGATGGTGTTGATGGCAAAATAATACTTTAAGGACCTCCTCCTACTTTGCAGTTTTTTTGTGTGTGAGCTCTCAGAGGTAACTCAGATTTTTAAATAACTGGCTCTTTTAAGAGATAATTGTAACATTCACTTTTCATGTGATGGCCTTCTACAAGTCATCCAACCCATCTTCATCGTCAGTGGAGGGTTTCCTGGAGAAGGTGGTTTTGGTTAAGGCTTGGGGAAGGGGCAACAGGAGACCCACAGAGCAAAAGGACTCAGGAGGCCAGGCCCCAGGAGTCAACAAAGGAGGTAGCTTCCTACACTTACAGGCTTGGTTATGGTAGCCCCACCCAGAATGGTTCTGAGATGGCAGAAGACATCACCAGCAAGCTGGCCTATAGGATGGGGGTACTGTAGCCTGAGGGAAGGACAAGCATATCAACCAAAGTGATTGCTCACAAACCCAAACCAGAGTGCTCTGCCCAGTAGATGCTGCAGACGGCAGCACAGGGGACCATTCCATCTCTGTTCCAGGGGCGAGGGGACTGAGGACAGGGAGGTTAGTGTGCTACAGAGCTAGCAGGAAAAGCCAACCCAGTAGCCTATGTACCTGACCACTAGTCCACTCAGAGAGAGCTGAGGAGGGCTGGTGCAGAAGCATTCCTGAGCCCCACAAGAGGGAAATCCAGGGTCTTCTTCACAGAAGGACCCACCTCCAGCCAGCTCCTTCTGTCCTGCTGACTCTCCAGGGAAAGATCACCCTGTCTGAGGTTGAAGGTCTGACCTGACCCAGGCCTGACCTCCTTGGCCACTAAGTGGCAAGGGTAGGATGAAGGAGCACTTGGTGTCCCTAACTTTAAAACCGTTGTCCCCAAAATGTTGAAAACAAGACAGATCACAAAGACACTCTCTTGCCCTGCCAGCCTCCTTGGCCTGCCTGGAAACAGACAGCAACGAGCACCCAGGGTCTCAGTGGGTGAGGACAGTGGCCACACACAGACAGAGACAAGGCCACAGGGCAGGCAAAAAGAGCAGCTCCTTGTGCTGTCCTCTTGGCCTGGGCAGCTAAAGCTCCATTGTGCCTGCACCCTATGTCCTTGATCAGCACCCTTGTCTCTGCCCAGCTGCCTGGAAAGGCCAGGCTCCCACCACAGCTCAATCCAGTCCCATTGTCCCATCACTCTAGAGCCATGTGACATTATTCCTGAGCCATGCAGTGTATGTAGCCTCTGAGAAATGGCCACTGTCTACTTTAAAGTCATGTGTCCTATTGTGGTGACCCTAAGTAAATACCTGGGCAGAGGGCAGGTCTGGGCTCTGATGCAGTCCCTGAAATGGCTACCCCAGGCACATTGTCAAATAGAACATATTTATTTTTCATGATCCCAAATGGGAGTCAGTGCTTCTTCCTGTAAAGTTGACTAAAGGACATTCAGGTGCCTAGAAGGAAAGCGCACCTAAACCTTTCAAGACTGCTGGGCCAGGGTTCTCCCACTGCAAGGATCTATGTGCTCCATGGAGAGTTTGAGAACCATGCCCAGCTGGGAGGACATCATAGAACACAGTCTTCTATGGGCAGCAGTCAGGGAAGACCCCTGGGTCAGGGAGAAGCCCCATAGAGGGAGGTGCTACAAGATCTTATGCCTCATGGAGGTGGTCTTGGTGCTCATTATTTTTTTTGAAGGAAACTCTAGATCTGCTCCTAAACTCTCCCCACCGACTTCAGGGCTAGAAACCCCACAGGAGGTACATCTCCATTGCAGTAAGCCCTGGGCTTCTGCCAGGCCCAAGAAGGCCCTGGGCTCAGGAAGGCAAGTTGATGGGGAAGGGCCAGGAAGGAGCGGCACCGGTGGATCCACTCCTGTGAATGTCAAGGCATCCCAGAGGCATGAGAGCCAGGCAGCAGTGGGGTGCAGACAGGAGAGGAGATGGACCTTCATCCAGCTCCAGCAGGCAAATCTTTCTCCAGCATATGTCCCTGGTAAATTCATGGGGTAAGCTTACCAGAGGTTCACCAGGAAGACATGTTCTATCTCCTGAAGGATTTCCAGCTCTCGGAAGACATTGCGGACCTCGTCGCGCTCAATGCACTGCTGCTTGTTCATGTACTTCATGGCATACATCTTCTCTGTGTCCCGCTTCTGTACAATGCACACCTGGAGGGAGAAGGGCATTTCAGTAGGACACCTGGGGACAGGAGCTCTGTAGTTCCCTCCCCCAGAATCTGTCCTGGGCTTTCCTTCCACACCGTTAGAAGTGCTTTCTGCCTGGCCCACCTGTGCTAAGTACGCTGAACACTTTCCTGCCTCCTGCAACCCCAAGCAACCCTGGACAGACAGCGTGAGGGTCCTTGGCCTCACTCTGCAGGGCTTATTCTCGAGGAGGGGCTCCAGGGACAACTCTCAGTCAGGACAGGACCCAGGTAGATGACACACTAACGCTGCAGGTTTCTCTCTGGCCTCAGGGCAGGATAGAAAGAACCTTACACCCTACCAGGATTTCTAGCCTGGAACAGTATGCGCTGTGAACAGGCACCATCTGCAGATAGGTAGGGCCCAGACAAAGAGCACCAGGCATGAGCCTGAGCCATGAGACCAGCTGGGCAATGCTGCACTGGTGCCCTGGTCCCTTACCACCCATAACCTAGGTAGGTAGCCTCACCTTCCAAAGCCCCAGTACCCCATTTCTGGGACTCAGGAAATGAGTGAGAGAATCTGCTTAGCACAGAGCACTGTACCCAGAAAGCCCCCATCAACCACAGGGCCACTATTCTCACCACAAGGACTTTCTGTGATGATAGGGTCCCTTCCCAGCCCATAATTCGAAATGTCCTCTAATCATTCAACTGTCAGTGTCAACTAGCAGTGCTGACATCGTTAATACACTACTAATTGCTTGGCAAAGAGGAACAGGATGAGGAGAGAAGTGAGAAGCATTAAATGAGCTGAATCATGTGCCTGGGGTCCCTTGTGGCCAAGGAATGTCAATCAGAATCACAAAGATCTCCAAAAGGAAACCAGGAGTTAAGGCACAAAATCATGGCTGCAGAACCAGCATTCCAACTCCCTTCAAATCATGAAGAGCCCCTACAGGACATGTGACTCAGGTAATCAGAGCCATTTCTGAGAGCTTCCACACTGTGGTCTCCAGAGGGCCTGGAGGATGTGGACAGTTCTGGGACTCAGGGGATGGGGCAGAGGCTCACAGGTGCCTCAGCCAATGCCAGATGGCGTGAAGCTGAATAGACATCTTAATGGCACCAGTCTGAAGCCAAAACTCTGGATCCACCCTGAGGGGAAACCTACATTCCCAGGAGAGGGAATCTTAGGAACATTCCCTCTCCTGGGAATGTTCCTAAGATGAAGGTGCTGTATGTCCAAAGATGTTCACGGCAATGCTATTTATAGCAACCAGACTTCCCAACACAGGGAGATCCAGCAACCTTCCAGGCTCAGATAGGTAAGCTCAACAAACTACCACATAAGCTACTGAACTGACATGCATAAAGGCTTTTAATGATATGATCAACTTTTACAATGCCAAGTACGGATGCTACACTTCACTATTTAGTGTAAACTGTGTAGAGTGATAATGCTTGGGATGGGCAGAAACTGGAAGCGAGCCCTGACAAATGAAAGCAGCCCCACTGGTGGGTGAGAGCACAGGCAGCCACTTCTTGGCTGTGGTTTTTGTCATATTACCACAAGGATGTCTGGTGACAGATGCTGATGTTGCCACAGATCCTGCAGATCACACTGGTGATGCTGAATCTGCCCAGGTGACTGATGATCTTTAAGGTTTGTGGATATAGCACTGAGCAGCTTCTCTCCACCCTTGAGCCCTAAATATCCCCCCATCATCCAAAGAGAGTGACCTTCATAAATTATGGATGTGGTTTCCAAGGTAAAATCATGCATGGGGGTGGGGGACTTATAGGCACACTGAGCCCAGGGAAATAAGTTTGAGGTGTGATGACCATAGGGGAAAAAGGTGGCATCTGGCTATGGCTGAGTGTCTCTGAATCTTGGAGTTCACCCACACCCAGCCAAACTGGCAATGGTACAAACCCAGCCAGGTCCCTATGCAGGCCACCAAGACCCCGGCAAAGCTCTACCTGAAAATGCCTCAGCCAGGGCTGATGCCCCAGGAAGACACCAGCCCAGGGATGCATCACTTCCTGCCTCCAAAGACACCCACTCTCTCATCTCCACACTGCAGAGTCCTGTAAAGACTGAGGTTTGGAAGCAGGCATGGGGTAGTGGGCTATGGGGGGCATGCAGAGAAGGAGTCTAGAGGTGATGGAAGGGAGGCCACAACGAATGTCCTGTTCTGGCCTTGCCTGGTCTTTGCCAAGGCCTTCCCCACCAGTAAGAGATGGAGCATTTCCCATCCAAGAGCAATGGGAGAGATGGGTCTCTGGAAGGAGCATAAACAGTCAGGAAACATGGTCAGCGAGTGAGCTCTGGGTCCAGGCAGGGCTTCTATACAGGGGGTAGTGATCTCATTTTTTAAAAAAATAGTAGCCCAAATGTCCCTGAGATAAGCACAGATCTCTCCAATGGTTGCCATGGGAACAGGGACACAAACCCAGAACCTGCCAAGAGGACACTGGACAGCCAGGTTTAGCTTATATTTTTTTCCACGACTTCCCAAACTGGTAAGTTAACCAGAAATGCACACCAATTTTTTTTTTTTAAAGATGAAAATCACAGGCATAAGCAAAGCCAAATCGTCTTATTCACTCTTGTTCTAGAAGTACTCTCTCCAGACTTGTGCGCCTATATTGGGGCAACTGGATTCTCCCTGAACAAATGTTTGGGGACACAGGAAGGCAACTGTGAGCAAGGCCCCTGAGGCGCTGCCCCAAGGGCTCCTGACTAAGGTCAAGGAGGAGACCCCAGAGCTTCAGATGCCTGGACTGTCCCTTACAAGGCTCTCAGTCTGGCCAGGTCCCCTGGGAGCTCTGAGCCCTGTTGGGCTGAGCTGCAGTGAAAAGTCCTCAAGCTGTTCTCAGAGAAGGACTGTGGCTGAAATGGGAAAAACAGTGGGAAGGCGTGCCACCTTTGTGGACTGTCAACCTGGGGTGTTAAAATGGGCTTACTCTGCAGTCTTCAGCCAGGAACATAAGTGGGATATCCCAGCTGCTGAAATGGAGGCCACACACTTAATACACAAATGGTACATCCTGGACCATAATCAAGTCCCACTCCTAATAACAGCAGTGGCTCCTGACCACACAGACCAAATGCAGGTGGAAAGCCACCCCCACACCCACCCAGCACCAGTGGATACTGTGGGGGAAGAACACCAACGATCTTCAGATGAGCAAAGGATCCAGTCAGGCAACGGCATTTCAATACCAAGGGGAACTCGAGATAGCTAAACCTGGAGCAACTTAGCACGTGGTCTGTGGCCCTTACTGGCTAACTTTTTAGGATCTTACAAGATCCTAAAAGAGAAAACCTAGATGCTTTAGGAAGGGATATGGCCAACCGTGGTGCCCATGACAGGAAGAAAGGGCCACCTCTGACAGATGCCAGTGTTTGCTATCTCTCCTTCAGCCTTAAGCTCCCTGGAGGGCAGAGACCCAGTCCTCACAGCTGAACAGGAGCAAGTGCTCAGATGTATGTTGAAAGAATAGAAAACTGGCAAACATCATCTCACACATCTTCTGCTTCACTGACATGCAAACTCTAGGACTAGGTACTTGACTTTGGAGAGTGTCACTGGAGAAAGTCCAACAGAGGGAGGTTTAACTTCTCAGCTGGCCCCTTGGCACCTTGGCCCAACCTAGCACCAGGAGTCATGCCAAGTCAGATTTGACAGCTGACATTCACATCCATCCTTTCGGCAGCACTCCTCAAGTGGCCTCCCTCAAGCCAGGCACTGCTGGGCACAACAGAGTCAAGCAGGTGAAAGAGTTAAAAATATGCCACTTTGGCATACTGACTGTTTTGAGTTAAAGGTACTTAAAAAACAGCAGGTACAAGGAGATCACTGGCCATCTTGTTTCCTAAATGAAGGAGATGAAATCCCTACTCGGAAAGTGCCCTCCCAGCACCAGGAGGAAAGCGACACTCTTGTCCCCTGCACAGACCTCTGCAGGAACCTTGTTTACAACTCTTCTCCTTTAGGCCTCTCCACATGTCTAGCTGCTTCTTCACAAGTCAGTGTCTAAGTACTGCTGCACGCTGCTGCTTCCGGACTTCATTCACATAAGGGATCCAGGGCCACACGGAACGTGTACTCAGCAAATGTGTGCACTTTCTCTCCTCTGAGCTGTCTGTGTCAACTGATAGGCAAGGAGACCTGAAGGCGGAGAACTGAAATTCTGCCTCACTCCCCAACATGGACATAAGCTGTTGAAGAGTACACTTCTTAGGGTAGAGTGGAATGACTGAGGAACATGATACCGACATAGAACTTCAGATGGTGACACATGCTATAGCGAAGCAGGACCTGGGTGGGTGCAGGACTCATCACTAAGTCTCCAGGGAAAACCTCACTGAGAAATAAACATTTGAATGGACAGGAAGGACGTAGGGGAAATCATGTGGGCAGAGGGGACAGCAAGTTCAGAGCCCAGAGGCTGTGTATGGATGGTGTGTCAAGGGCCAGTGGTGGAGGGTATAAGGGGATGAGGTCAGAGCCGTCCTGTGGGCCAGGTGAGGGAAGCCTTGCCACTGTGCAACCCTAGCCTTCTGTCTGAAAGACATGGGCAAAGCTTTGAGCTTTTTGGACTCAGCTGTGACCCTTGGCTAAGGACTCGGGCAAGGCTGCTGCACCATAGCTGGACACTTTGCAACCAGTCCAAACCCTCAGATGGCCTTCCTGCTTCCTGAAACCTTTGCTCAACCAGGTCCAGGTCCATTACTGAGTCTCTAGAGGGACCTGCTTGGCTCTCAGTCCTTGAGAAGGAAAAGAGCCAAATATGAAGTAGAATGTGAGGTCATCTGCCACTGCTGGGGTCACAAAGTCAGGGAAACTGAGTTAGGTAAGAATATCACCAAGTTGACACCCCCATCCTGGATATACCCAGTACTGTGATTGTCCACAAAGGGTATGAAGGCATCACTCACCCACTGAGCTGGGATCTTTTGTCTATGTAATTGTATGAGATGTCCTACCCAGGAGAGAGCTCTGGGGAGCCCCAGTC